TAAATTGAGTTGGATTCTTTTCAAAAAATTAATTTTGTTGCTTGATATTATTTAAACTTGACTACCAAAATTATTTTTGATTTTATAATTTTTTCAATTCAACATAGTTTAGTGTATACTATTAAATAATTCATTTTTATAATCATAAAATTGAAGATTAAAATGTAAATTTATTTTAAAGACAACAAAAATATAGTTTTTCGCAAGATTTCAAATGGAGAGGAAATTCCGCTTTTGCTACTCCGTAGTTCCTTCCAAAAAATTTGCGTTATTTTAAAAAGTATCTAATTTATTTTGACTAGAGGAGATACTATTATGGGGGTACACGGTAAAATTGTTTTAAATATATGTAATTCCTTGCAAATTTAATGAATACTACATACTAACCCCGCTGTAGAAGTCAACTGATTAGAGTTAGTCAATTATTTTTGAGATATATTTATAAAAATGGCGACGATAGACATATAAAAAGCGACAGGTATAAGATAGAAAGAATGCTATCTTTTATTTTGGGAAAATAATTAATTCGTTCAGTGCTAACTTGAAGAATAGACTAAATGGTTAAACTAATATGTTTTAGACGAGATAAAAGTTTCAATATTAGAAAAAAGTTCTATGAACTTTGGATTAAGAAAAAAATGTCCTTGCTATTTTTCACTCAAGAAGGATACTAATAATTTACAGTATTTTAGCTCCAACCCAACGGGAATACCTGTTCAGGCCCCTCATCGAGCCATTCCTTTGCTTATAGTGATAACAAGCGTCTACATGAGAGAAACTGTTGGAGGCAACCCCCCTCTAAAGCTACCTTTAATCCCCTATAAAAAAATTAGCTGCCGTAGGTGACAATTTTCAATCACTAATATCAATCTGATGCTATTTAAAAAAAGGTCCATTTAATTATTAAGCCCACTATAAGATTTTTCTAAAGAAAGGCAAAATAATTTAGGCTATGAATAAGAAAGAAACTTTAGTTGGTGACAATCATCTGTGTTTATCACTCATGATCTGAATATTAATCCCGAATATGTAAATGAAACTATTTCGCTCATAATATAAAAAATATTTTTTAACTTTATTCTACCCGCTTACTCTATCCCCTCTTGATGCCTATTCCCTTTAAATAAAATGGAGGCAAATGCTCTTATCTTTTTCATGTAGACGCTGGATGGCACACTCATTTTAAATGATCTTTAACAGGATTAATAATTAAATATTATGTTTATAGGAAAAATTTTAACTCATCATTTATTCATTACGCAGAATTATAATGTTACCTTGTCTTCGCAGCCAATTAAAGGCTCGAATACGGAATTACAAATTAAAAAATACATAAATATGAGTTAGAATAATTTCCATTTCGTTTACTTTGGGTTTTATTTTTCTTTGATTTCTAGCGATTATTCCTTTTAAATATTTTCATACACGGATCTGAAATCCATTCCTATATTAAGGCCCATTAATATTTATGAACATATAAGCATCCACACTGGCGTAGCCAGAATTGATTCATGGGGGGAAGGGGGGGGGGGTGGTTTAAAAATTTGCCAATATTTTGTGCTTTATTAGTGTCTAGTGACCAGAGTTGTTAAACGCTACTTTTAAAAGTAGAGCGCTACCGCTATCGCTAATTATCAAAAAAAGTAGATCGCTATTAGCTACTTTTTATAAAAAAAATTTACAAACAAATTTTTCATTTTTTGCTTATAATGTTATTGTATAGTAAATATATAAAAATCAACATTTATAAATATTAAAATATAGTTAGTTTTGATTATAAAAAAATTTATGTAATAAAAATAAATATTTATGGTAATTTGTTGCATTTTAATAATAAAATCATTTCAATATTATCATCCCCAAGTCTTGAGCGACGATCAGAAAGTATAAGTTTTGCCTTACTAAATATTCTCTCGACACTAGCACTTGAGGGTAGTGGTGTATTTAATCTTATACATATTTTTAATATAAGATAGATTATCAATAATTTTATTTGCAAGTACATCGTTTGTCTGGCATTCTATTATCATTTTGAGGGCTAATGCCACAGATCTTCTTTTTAAAGTCCTAGGGTCTAGCCAATAGCCTATGATTCGCAAATAACCTCAAAAATATTTAATCAGATCAATTTATAAATATAAATAACTTTTTACTTTCTGTTATGTGTCCAACTATCTCCCATGGTTCACATATATGATATCTCTGATAACTCTACTATTAGAGCATCTTTCATCATTTTAAAGTTATCTGCTATTTTATTCATTAGTGTCTGGCGGCATAAAATTGTTGTACCAGGGTGATAGAGTTTTAATCATCATGGTAAATGATGGATTATTAACTAAGGACATTGGCTGAACTGTATAAATTATAAAATCAACAATAACTTTATCAGCCAATTTCTGAGAAATATTGTCATTTGCATTATTAATTAATTTGGTTTGAATTAATTAGTCTTTTTGGATGTAGAGTCGCCTATATCAAAATTATTTAGATGTTTCTCCATTTCCTTAAAAATCATGAACAGTCTTATAAAATAAATATTAGAATGTAAAAATGACAATTTACCTTTAGGTGCTTCTTGAGGTTATAGCTACTGGATTGATTTTAGGAAATATTTTTTTTTACATTTTAAATAAATAAATTTGAAACCAGTTTTGGTTATATATTTATTTTAAAAAATTTTCAAATCTAGGGAATGGGAAATTTGTATTATAGCTATTAATAACATTTTCTTCCCTGGTATCTTCCATTTCATTAATATCATTGTCTGAATCACTTTCAACGATTTGGATATCCATAGGCGATTACATTTTAAATTATTAACACGTGATTTAGGTTTATAATACAAATTTCAATTTTAAAATTAAATAATAAATCATAAAAATTATAATTAATTATAATTAATTATGATATTATATTTAAATTTTCATGTTTATACTTATCTTAATTATATTTTTTAAAAGTAGCGAAGTAGTGGCTACTTAACTTCTTTTAAAAAAAGTAGCGCGCTAAAAAATTAAATAATTACAAAAAAAAGTCGCCGCTATTAGCTATAGCTACCAAAAAAGTTAGCGCGCTAATTAGCACGCTACTTTAACAACTCTGCTAATCACTATAGTAGCCAGCATAAATGAAAAAAAATATTAGTAACAAAATTTTGGCCAAATTTATGATTATTACGCTACTGAAAGCATTATTCTGAAAATTTTATCAATGTTTAGTCAATGGTAAATTAATTCAATACATTCGGTGTAGAAAGAAGAATAAAATCGCCCCCCCCCCAAACCTCTTATTTTTTATGACACTCAATATATCTTATTTTATGTTAAAAATAATTATTTTAATTAAATTTTTGCATATAACAAAATTTTGCAGAGAATTTCATTATAGATTTTATTTATTATTAAAATTCTTTAGTATAAATAACATCCCTTTATTTAACTATGTATTATTTTAATGATAACAAATGAGTATATTAATAAAACATTAATAATTGTTATTAGGCCTAATATTTTTAAAAAAAATTCGGGTCGGGTTGGATCGGGCCTTGGAATTTTTTTTAAAATATATCTAAATATATCAATTTTATGTTAAATTTTTTATGTAAAATAAAATTATTTGATTTTATTTATAAAAACTAGACGCCATGTAACATATATCTTTTATTTTGAGTAATTATAAAAATGATATTTAAATAAATTCAGGCCAAGGCCGACAAAACTTTTTAAAAAAAATTTCGGGTTCGGGCCGGCAAAACATTTTTAAAATAATTTCGGGCCGGGTTGAAAAATTAGGCCCGATACAGATCACTAATTCTTATTGCAAATACAATATTTTTATTAAAAATAGTATAATATATAAATATTATGACTAAGAATTCATTATAATTACTTATTGAATATAAAAATTTTATGTTATAATAATATAGCAATTTTATGATTTGAATTTATAAAGCGAGGTGTATTTTTCTCTGAGATTTGACTAATTTATCTAGAATCAAATTTTTATCTAGAATAATATCCTTATAAATATTTAATATGACGAATCATTTAAACGGCTTTCACCGGTGCTATTACCAAAATAGGGTTTTAACTTTTTCAAAATTGAAGAAGACCTTTCATTAGTGCAGGTGCTAATCGGTAAGGTAGCTAAAATAAAAAGCAATGTTTTAATATTAGGCAGGGAATCTAAGGTGCTATTACACATGGAAAGGGCCTGCAAAGCATTTTTTGGTCTCAAAGAGTACTCTATTCTGTCAAAGTAACTAATAAATCTTTTTGTTTTTTGGTTACAGTGTATTTTATTAATGTATATAAAAAATTAAAAAAAATAAACATTTTTTATTATTTTTAATTAACATGTTCCTAATGATTTATTTTTTTATATATCATTAATCAATAAAAATAATGGTTAATTGGCAAAAAGACACCAATGCTGAAAAATATCCAGATTTATTATTTCTGACATAATAAATTACAGGAAATCTTATCTATTTAAAAATCTCAAATTCATATCTAAATATTTAAAAGATTTTGTTAAAATTGGATTATTTTTGCCTGTAGTGTTGAATCGGCTAAATCCTAACAGTCGAGAAATTTGCTAAGCCTTTTTTTTAAATTGAGCTACCCTTTAAGTTTAACCCTCAATCGAGGTTATAATGATAGTTTTCTCTTAAAATGGCTTCTTAGCCTTTTGGAGTTGGCTCAAAATCTGTTAAAAATAGATATCCCCACTTTCTAGATGATAAAACTTACTTTAAACTTTAAATATTAAAAAAAATTTTAGGAAGGGGGGAGTAGGGGGTCTCAGCCTTTTCTTATAATTTGGAAAGGGGGTTAAAAATCAAAATAATCAGATACTTTTAGCCCTCGATAGCCCTCTCGCAATACACCTCTGGCTATAGCGTATATATATGTATATATTTGAAACAAGTAAATATGTATAAACAATAAAAAAAAAAGTTATTAAATCAAGAAGAACACTCTTACATGTGTTAAATGTTTGGTGATTTAAATACCATGTCTTCCAAGATTAATATAATATTCCAAACTGGCGTTTTTAGGGAAGGCATCTTAGTTGAAAAAGCTCAATTTGATATATACAATCTTAAAAATTTAGCCCTATTATTTCTGCAGCGCGTATTTAGTTTGCAAGTAATAATATACAAAAGTTTATCAATTTTACAAATATTATAGGAACCTTTAATTGGAATTGGGATTCAAGAGAAAGATCTTATGTTATTTTATCATAATTATGAATCTCCATGTATTTTGGATTATCTTACTGATACATTAAATTTAACAGACAATTCTATGATAGAAATAGTATTACGAGGTTGTTCTTACTCATGTGTTTTGAATATTATTTATCAATATAGGAGATATGAAGATGATATCACCTTCTCTTTACCCACATTCTTTACATATACATTCATATAAATCTCCTGCATTTTGTGATTTTTGTGGTGAAATGCTTTTTGGTCTGGTGCGTCAAGGATTAAAATGCGAAGGTTTACCCTTTTATTTTCTATAATATTGATTACACATATGTATACTAATTAATATTAAATTGTGTTGGGCTTCATTTATATGAGCATAGTAATACCATGTTATTGTTCTATAAAGCAATATAAGAACATCACCATGGAGATTGATATCATGGTGCACTTTTTTTTGCTTAATTTTAAATGTGGTTATTCACATTTACTAAAAATATGTATTTATAACTATAAATTTACAATTATTTTGATTTTTTTTCTCTTTAATCAGATTTAATTCATAGAACTAACAAGAAGAAAAATCTTCAAAATAATTTATTAAATTTGAAAAATTATTTTATGTATTTGAACATATTGAGTTTTTAATTATATAATGAAATAGGATTAGAACTATAACCTATATAAAAAAAATAATATTCTCAAACAAAAATATTTTAAATACAATACATATATATTTTATGATTGTTTTATATAAAATTAAAAATATAAGTAATTTATATAAATTCTAATTTAAATAGTATTAAACCTTAAATTGGAGTACAAGGGTGGGTAAATTCTAATGGAAATCATAGTACCTAACCATATAAAATATTTTAAAAGATTGCAAACTTAAAACATTTTGATTTAAAATCTAAACCTAAATAGTTTGGAATCAGAACAATAATAATAATATAAGCTAAAAATGTTTTTAAAAACGAATTTTTTCAATCTCATGTTTAAAACGTCCAACTAAGAATGATATCCATAAATTTTTGATAATTCACTAAATAATTTAACTGGTTATACAGGGATTACTTAACCCTATTCTTACACTTAGATTTTTTTTTATTGACTTTAAGGATGTGGGCTGAGTTTTCACAAAAGATGTGCTTTTAAAATTCCTAATAACTGTTCTCAGCTCAGATCACGATGTTCATCAACCTCTACCACCCATAATTTAGTATCACCTAATAGTTCTTCAGAGTCAGTTGTTAGCACTGTTTCAGGCTCTACTGTTCTCAGTACCAATAATAACCTTAATCAATATCCCTGTTTTAACGATCTCTCGAATATTGCTTATGCCAATTCCAAAAACGAAGCCAAAAATGAATTATTTCATTCAACTTCTCACCGAGTTGACAATATGGTAAATTTTTATTTTATTCATATAATATAATTTCTTAAAAGATATAATTTTGAATTATTAAATTAAAAATATTTTTATCTTTCATCTAGCTCGATTATTATTTTTAACTTCTTCTTTTTTGACATTTTTTTTCGTCCATCAATATATCATGCACTATCTTTTTTGTCCATTGCTTGCCAGTAAGATAACAATGAGCCAATTTTTTTTTGCGACGCTTATGCTATTTTTTTTACGATAAAAGACTTGGCACTAGCATTACATATTTATTCATAAAGCTTATTTTAATTTATTTATATATATATGTATGTTTTTATCGTTAATTACAACTGTTAATTTGCCATTTTAATAATACATAATATAACGAAGCTAAGTTTAATTTAATTAGTAAGATAAGTTAGTCAACATTTGATTAATAATAATTTTCTTTCAAATGGATAATGAAAATTATTTTATTATTAGATAGAGGCTAATTTTTTAAAAATATTTTATAGCGTTGGCTGATAAGAAATCTTATTACCGTATAACATTTTATGTTTTAAATGATTTCCCGAGTTTTTAAATTGTTTTAATTTGGTCGTTTAATATTCAAAACACGATTTTTCTGACGACCGATTACATAAAAAAAAAATATTAACGAAAGAAAATTTTGAAATGACAATAATTGCTTCTCCCTTTTTTTCCTGGTGGTAATTTGATGCGCGAAAGCTTGATATTTATATAATATACATTAACATATAGAATACGAATCCCGGATAAAAACTTTCAGGAAAAAAACACCCGGAAAAAACCCCCGTTTTTTTCATATTTATAGAATTTACTTAAGACCTAATAATATAAGTATATTTTTATTTGGATTATAATGAATATACTCATTTATAATGTATAGACAAATTAGTATTTTAGAAAAAAATATTATAAAAATATAATATAAGCTAAATTTCTTTAGGCCCTAATTCATTATTTAAAGATTACTCATATACCCTCCATAAAAAATGCTTAAACAAGATAAAATGCTAAAGTTCAAATTGGTACTGGGAAAAAATAACCCATGTATTTCTTATTTTCGTAAAGATTATTTGCTATACTAATAAATACAATATCCATCTTTAATTACGATATTAAGTAGACTAAATTTCACAAAATTTTGTAATAATATATTTATTTTATTGGTAATTCATGATTATGTATACAAATTTAATAATTTAGAATAATAATTATATGGGTGACATCGAATATTGAAGGAAATCGCTCTTAAAAAATTTGGAAGGCTACACACCCCATCATGGTATTCCTCACAAAGTTTCTTTAACCGAATCTGGGTAATATAACTGCGATTTTGTATTCGGTGTCCAACTATCTACTCGCCATTTTTCAAGTTTGGTTTCATCGGTAGCAACCTCGCAATTTTTTTAAATCAATACCCAGATTGATGTGTGTTTATTCCCAACCAGATTAGAAAAACTATGATTCCAACCTTCACATTTTGTGCGTTCTTCGTCGGATAGAGTGCTCTGATTCACGTTCCAAGTTTCTGGAGGAAATCGAGGCTCAAATCGACGTGTTTGGAACTGAGAATTTCTTCTTGTGATAAATTCTATAAATATGAAAAAAAAATCCGGGGGTTTTTTTTCAGGAGGTTTTTTTTCCTGTGAGTTTTTATTCTGTGGTTTTTTTTTCCTATTACCATTATTTCTTTTTATCATATCAGTTATGACTTTTTTCTTATCACATTCATATATTTTATATTAAAAGTTACCATGTTTCCTTTTTTAGCATTTAGAATATCTACTTTTTTTTGAGAATTTGCTATTTTATGAGTTTATGCTTGTCCGTTTAAATGAAAATCAAGTTTTGATAAATTTATATTCTTATACATTTTATAATTATTATTTAAATAGAATTCAATTAGCTTTAAAATGATAAATGCAATAATATGCATATTTAAGATAATACAATGGTTAGGTATACAAATTCTACAGCGAATCGGACCACAATGAAATACTTATCAATTTTGAAAATTGAAAATTTAAATCATGGGAATTTCTTTGAGATGATACAAAAAGTCATAACAAAAAATGATAAAATGCTCTTAGATTCCATTTAGAAAACTCTATTTTCAGGAGCCAAATTAGAAAGGAAAAACTGAAATTCATGAGGAATCAAAATCCAAGGGAAGAAGTTCTCTAATAATTTTATGTCTAAGACAACCATAATGCCGGCTCGAACAAGGATGACAAATCACAGGGGTGCTAGCCCGGAATCGCCGGAGCCTAGACGTCCAGGATTGAGACCTTGGAGGAGAGAACGGTTGTACTATATTTGCAGAGCAACTGACCATCTGCAAAATCAGTGCCTCCGTGGGTCAGCCAAGAAGCAAGAGGCAATTTCCCAAGTCGATATGCCAATGGGCGTATAAGGAGATAAAGAAGTAGGAGTAATATAAGAGAAGAGGCAGTGTCCATCTGGACGGTATTGCCACAGCTGACAAGACGGAGGACCCCTGATGTTCGGGATTTGGGAGAGGCCGGATTGGTCAGACCGGTTGCCATATTGGAACCGTTGGGCGAACGTACCACATATACGAATCTCGAGGATGGAAGTTTAGGTAGCTGGCCGATAGTAGATCTATCGGCGGGTGAATTAGAATAACTGTTGGGTTAAACCTATAGGGTTCTTAGGTATAATTGATGGGGGCATGTGATAAGTATGTAAAGAAAAGTTTTTTTTGTATTTTATAAAAAATAAATTATTATTTTTTTTGTTATTATTTATTGCAATAATAAAAGATGAAAAATAATATATATATTAGTTATCTGCATCGGGCCTAATTTTTCAAGCCCGAACCGGCCTGAAATTTTTTTATAAAGTTTTGCTCTGCCCGAACCCGGAATTTTTTTTTTAAAAAATTTTGCCTGTCCGGCCCGAATTTATTTAAATATAGAAATTAATTTTTTATAATTAAACGATATGTTATTTGGCGTCTACTTTCAATAAATAAAATCATATATTTTTATTTTACATAAAAAATTCAACATAAAATTGATAAATTTAGATAGATTTTAAAAAAAACTTCAAAGCCCGACCCGACCCGGCCCGAATTTTCTTAAAAAATGGGCCGGGTACTGGCCGGGCCTACTTTTGCAGATCTTTAATATATATACGCGTGTTGCAAAAATCATGATTATTATATTACTATCTAATAACCCGTCAAGAATGACGGGGTTAAGGGGTAATTAGTTAGTTTGTGTATATGATACTAAATATGCTTTATATTAAAATTTAGGAGAAAGTAAAATTGTTGCAATGTAACCCGTGAGCATTAAGGGTATTAGAACAGGCGCGTACGCAGCGGGGGGGGGGGGGACAGGTGGACAAATCCCCCCCCCCCCAAAGCCAAAAAATGCAGATGCCGGATTATATTTTTCAAAAATATTATTGTTAATATTAATTTATATTTGTTAATATTTATTCTTATCTCATATATACATATATATATATATATATATTTTATTTATCACATTCATCTACTAAGTTATTTTATCAATCAATTTCGATTTCAAGTTTTCCTTGGCGTAATTTACCTATTATTTTCAAATTTTAGTGGCGTAATATTTATCTAAATTTCTAATAAAATAATAATTATCTCTGAAACTCCTTGTCCAACAGGGAGAAAAAAATTGCAAGCTTGTCCAACGAGATCGAGTCTCCGCCACAGTAACAGCTATTTTGGAGTTAGAAGAGCTGATTATTAATGCTATTACTGAAATATCACAATGGCTTGAAAGAAATATTTCCTCAGAAGCAAGAAAATTATTGGATTCAATACTTATTCCAAATTGTTTTTCCCATTAGAATGTATTATTTAATTATACAACTATTTTATGTAATACTTTTAAAAACATAACATTGACTTGATTAAGAAGATGAGAATAGCGGAGAGCATTTTATTAGAACTCAAGGAAATAGAGCTAGTGTTGTTGAAGAATTTCATATTTTATATGTTATTGTTGAGTCAAAAGCAGAGCTATACGTGTTAAATATTTGTCCCCCTCGACTTGCAGCAAGCAAGCTCATCATCAAAACATTAATATAGGATCAGTAGAAGAGTATTATAAAACAAATGTCCCCTCTCCCAACCTTTTTCATATGGTGATAGAAAAAAAATATAAATATTTGTTATATTTTTATCATGAAGATGTTAAAATATCTTATGATGCCTTATTAGCTGAATAACTATGATTAAAAGATTAACTATGGTTGATACAGTCCCAAAAAATGCTATGGATGCTTTTTATTTCAAACACATTTTAGATTAGTTATATATATATTAGCAGCTCTTTAGTAAACTAATGAGAGAACATTCACTTTTTTAAGAAGAATAACAGAGCCTTGCAGAGGTACCATTTGCAGGACCAGGCCCAGATTTTATTTTAAAATTTTTTCCGGCCCGGGTTTTTTTTAAAAAAATTTTCAGGCCCGGCCCGGCTGGCTTAGCCCGAATTTTTTAAAATAAATTATATTTATTTTTGATATTTATAGCTAATAATGGCGATTTCAAATATTTGGTTTTAAAATATACAACTAGGCTCGGATATTTTTTCTTAAAAAATTTTCAGGCCCAGCCCGGGTGTTTTTAAAAAAAAAATTACGAGCCCGGCCCGGGTATATTTAAAAAAATTAAAATACGGTCCGGCTCAGGGGCCGGGCCTGCAAGTCTGTGAAAAACATACCTATGAAATACAACATCTGAAAGTAGATTGAATGATTTGGATCTTTTGAATATTCATAGACATTTAACGCCAAGCAAGGATTGATAATTGAAAAATTAGCTCAAAACATACAAAATACAATTATTCCTAAGAAACTTTTTGTGTATTAATTTATATTTACAACATTTAAATTTTTTATACTTTATATATTTTAAAAGCTCAAAAAATTCAAATTTCAATTTTGGGTCATTTAGGTGATTCATATCGTGGGTTATATTCACTTTATATTTT